GGCTAATCTCATTATTTTCCTGGGTCCATTTTCTCCTGTAATTTTTCCATTTTCGAGCGCACTTAGTTTTGGCTTCTCTACATCTTTTGGTGAACTAAGGGCTCGTTTTGGCCTTCCCATTGTTTCTGTTTCCCTTGTGTACGAACGTTTCCTCTTCCTCCTTTCATCGTGTGGTCATGTATTCCATCATTTAATTGTGTTTTTCCCACTAGTTCTCTTTCAAACTGTACCTAATGCAGGAAATTCATCATGCTTGGATAGTCTCCCCTTTCTTAGTATGGATTCTCCCATCCTACCCATGCTTTTTCACTTTCCACTGTTATCTCTGCAATATATTCAAAGCTCAGTACCACATGATCACTATCTCCTAGGGGCCTTTCATTTTCATTGTGATTTTCTCATTGACTGAACTGCTCAGGGTATTATATGGTATTATCTGTAAGGTGTTAATGGATGATATTTTCCAGTACCACCTTTATCAGTTTAGCTCTCCACGTTTCAGGTCTTCCCTGTGGCTCCAGATTTTCCCAGTCAATCTCCATGTGACTGAAATCACTCACAACTAGTAATTTTGCCTTTTCCATATGGACCATTCTGGCCACGTCAGCTAGTGTCCACCATTGCTCTGTTGCTCTCATCAGTCTCTTGTCTTGGCCTAATGCTGATCTGTAGCTTTTTGTATATCACTGCAATCACCACCATGGGCCTCTTACTATGCATTCCCTTGTTTCCCTTCTGTGCACTCCTTCCATCTCTTCGAATCTCCACTGATTTTTGGTGTGTGTGTGTGTGTGTGTGTGTGTGTGTGTGTGTGTGTGTTTACTTACCTATTTGTGCTCACCTAATTGTGTTTGCAGTGGTCGAAGGTGTGTTTGTGTACTAGGAGTGTTTGTGCGTGTACTGGGTGTGTGTGTGTGTGTACTCACCTAATTGTACTCATCTAATTATGGCTGCCGGGGTCGAGTGTATGTGTGCGTGTACTAGGTGGTTTTTGGATACTTTGTGTGTGTGTGAATGTGTGTGTGTGTGTGCGTGTGTATTTAAGATTCTTTGATGATGAAATCGATTAAAATACAAGCGTCTGTTTCTGCGTGTTGCGCTCCTCTTTGTTAATAGGCCGTTAATGTGGCTGGAAGTAAAGCATGCTATGCACATGATGCTTTTAGCATTAAGTTTGCAGACATTGTCTCAAACCTGTCAAAACTGAAGAACAATGCCTTTGTTTGACTTTGTCTACTAATGTGAAGATCTTAAAAGCCTAATGCAACCGTTGATGAAATGGTACTGCCTTTTATCTTAAAAAGTTTCTTTGTATATAATTGCATTCTGCTTCGTGGTAGGAAAAGCTGGAGATCCTGTAAGCTCTCAGAACGTGCCTCTGATACGCATGGGAAGACCTGCATATCCTGCATGAAGTCCAACTCCATTAAAGCCATTCTGAATTAAAAAAAAATATGCAACATATTAAATCGAGTGCCATTATTTACACAACTATATTGAGTTATGTGAGAAAGTATATATTGGGAAAATATAAACAAGCCTCAAACAATGAATCAATGAACATATGATCTCATGCCAAAGGAGCAATATTAACAACACTTCACCATTCAACTTAACATCTTTAACTATCTTATTGAATTCCAAAATAAAAGATTTCTCATCAGGTGGCACAACATTCGCTCACCATGAGGCGGGACAAAGCGGCATGAGTTCGAGTCCTGGGCTAGTCCCAGTGTTGTTATTGATCAATACCACTCGTTCGTAGTTACAATAATATAAAATACTTCTCGTTGGGCTAGTACACAAAACAGGGAGTAGAATAAAATTAGCTTAGAGGCACCCACACCACCGTATGTCCTCGCATGACGGAAAAGCACCAAGCTTGGCTGGGTACGTCATTATTGTAGAATTGCGTGGTCCTGTGGGTTAGAGCGTCATGTGTTTTGGCTTACCATAAGGCGGGCCAAAGCAGCATGAGAAAAGTGAGTCATCATATGTGTGTATCCACCTGGAGAAGAGAGGAGTGTTGAGGAGAGAGAGAGAGAGAGAGATTTTGGGAGATGTTAAGCGACTGTGTAGGAACTTTTGAATCAAGTGAGAGAGCAATTATGGTAGGGGACTTAAATGCTAAAGTAGGAGAAACATTTACAGAGGGTGTGGTAGGTAAGTTTGGGGTGCCAGGTGTAAATGATAATTGGGCTCTTTTATTGAACTTTGTAAAGAAAGGGGTTCGGCTATAGGTAATACATATTTTAAGAAAAAGATGATAAATACGTATACAAGATACGATGTAGGGCGTAATGACGGTACATTCTAGACTACTTGTCGGTAGACAAAGGTCTGTTGACTACAATTCAGGATGTACTTGTTTATAGAGGGGCCACAGATATATAAGATCACCTTTTAGTTTTAGCTACAGTGAGAGTAAAAGGTAGATGGGATACAAGGAAAATAGGAGCAGAAAGTGATAGAGAGGTGAAGATTTATAAACTTACGACGGAGGCAGTTAGTGTAAGATATAAACAACTATTGCAGGATAGATGGGCTAGTGAGCGTATAGGCAATGGGGTCGAAGAGGTATGGGGTAGGTTTAAGAATATAGTGTTAGAGTGTTCAGCAGAAGGTTGTGGTTACAGGAAAGTGGGTGCAGGAGGGAAGAAGAGCGATTTGAGGAATGATGATGTAGAGTAGTAAGGGAGAAAAAGTTACCATATGAGAGGTTCCTACAAAGTAGAAGTGATGAAAGGAGGGAAGAGTATATGGAGAGAAGGAGAGAGGTGTAGAAAGTGGTGAAGCAATGTAGAAAGAGAGCAAATGAGAGAGTGGGCGAGATGTTATCAACAAATTTTGTTGAAAATAAAAAAAGAGCATTGGAGTGAGATTAATAAGTCGAGGAAGCCTAGGGAACAAATGGATTTGACACTTAAAAATGGGAGAGGAAAGTTATTAAATGGAGATTTAGAGGTATAGGGAATGAGGGAATATTTAGAGAAATAATTAAATGTTGATGAAGATAGGGAAACTGTGATTTCGTGCATAGGACAATGAAGAATAACATCTTGAAGGAGTGAGAAAGAGCCAGTTGTGAGTTGGGAAAAGTTCCTGAGGCAGTGGGTAGAATGGAAGGTTGTAAGGCAGTTGGGAGTGATGGGATAAAGATAGAATTGTTAAAAGCAGGTGGGGATATAGTTTTGGAGTTGTTGGTGCTTTTATTTAGTAAATGTATGGAAGAAGGTAAGGTACATAGGGATTGGCAGAGAGCATGCATAGTTCCATTGTATAGACAAAGAGGACAAAAGAGAGTGCAAAAATTATAGGGGAAAAGGTTTGTTGAGCATAAATGGTATTGGCAAGCGGTGCGGGGTTAAAGAATCTAGCACAAAGTGGGAGTTGTCACAATTGCTCTTTGCTGATGTCACTGTGCTTGTGGGAGATTCTGAAGAGAAGTTGTAGAGATTGGTGGATAAGATTGGTAGGGTATGTAAAAGAAGAAAATTAAGAAGTGAAAAAAGGAAAGAGTAAAGTGATGAAAAATTAGGTGACGAAAGATTGAATATCAGATTAGAGGGAGAGAGTGTGGAAGAGGTGAATGTATTCAGATACTTAGGAGTGGACATGTCAGCAGATGAGTGTGTGAAGGATGAGGTGGCTCATAGAACTGATGAGGGGAAAAAAGGTGAGTGGTGCACTTCAGAGTCTGTAGAGACAATTAACTTTGTCCATGGAAGCCGAGAGGGGAATGTATGAGAGTTTAGTAATACCAACGCTCTTATATAAGTGCAAGGCATGTGTGGTGAATGTTTCAACAAGTAGAAGGCTGGAGGCAGTGGGGACATGATGTGTGAGGGCAATGTATGGTGTGAATATAATGCTGAGAATTCGTAGTTCTGAAATTAGGAGGAGGTGTGGGATTACCAAAATTATTATCGTGAGGGATGAGGAGGGGATGCTTAAGTGGTTCGTACATGTAGAGAGAATGGAACAAAATAGAATGACTTCGAGAGTATATAAATCTGTAGTGGAGGGATGGCGGGGTCGGGGTCGGCCTAGGAAAGGTTGGAGGGAGGGGGTAAAGGAGGTTTTTTTGTGCGAGGCGCTTGGACTTCCAACAAGCATGAGTGAGCGTGTTTGATAGGAGTAAATGGAGACAAATGGTTTTTAGGAGTTGAAATGCTGTTGGAATGTGAGCATGGTAATATTTATGAAGGAATTGAGTCCTGGAGATAGGAAGTACAGTGTCTGCACTGTTAATGTTACAGTTTTATAAACTGTAGTGTAAAGCACCCCTCTGGCAAAACACTGATGGAGTGAATGATGAAAGTTTTTCTTTTTCGGGCCACCCTGCCTTGGTGGGAATCGGCCGATGTGTTAATTAAAATTAATATATATATATATATATATATATATATATATATATATATATATAATATATATATATATATAATAATAATATATATAATATATATATTCTCTTTTGCAAGAGTTTCATGAAAAGATATCTGACAACAATATAAATTAAGAAAAGAAAAAATCATTCATGAATGATTTTTCGTATTTAATGATTATCGAAGAACGTGTTTTTGTAATAAGTTTATAGAAGAGTGTAAGTATGCGCTTTGTAAGATAATTCAGTAAACACTTCGAAAATTTTAAAATTACTATAACTGAGATAGTGAAAAGAAGTGGTTGTACTTTACTATAAAACTTGCTTCACTTACATCATGAGGTTTATATCCACTTACTGATCAGTAGTGACTTCTGGGATCACTGTCTTATTGAACAGAAAAACCGCAGTAAATATTCAGGTTGATATCGAAATATCTTTCTTGGTTCTGATGATAATCTTGATTCTTTGAAAGTACATACTGTGCATGGTAATTTCACAGACAGTGAACAACTCAAGAAGGATTTATGACCTATATTCTTAATTTTTTTTCTGGAATGTTAAAGAAGATAATGCATTAATGGGAGTATATAATTTCAAAAGGACAAAAACCTACCTTAAGTTTGATTCCTCCCCTGGCAGAGCTGTAGTCGATGAGGCGAGTATCATGGTACCAGTAGACCAAGGTAGCTGGGCCGTAGGATGAAGTCACTAGACAGTTGAGGGTAAGAGAAGAGCCTTCCTCAATGTACAGTTCTCTTTGTCCCAGTATTTCCACCCGCAGATGACCTGTAGTCAAGAATAATAGAAAAGTTTAATCGTAAACAAGAGTGGAACTCAGCTATAAATGGTGCACCATATACAATTAATACGCTACTTTACCCCCCCCCCTTCTCTTTTAAATCGTCATCAACAAATGTGAGGCTGTAAATTCCTGCATTTATTTTACAGACTAGGTGTTTTTATTCTAATTCAACTCTATTCCAAAAATCTCTCGCACATTTTTATGTAAGTAATTTATTTTAGTGACCTCAGTAAAAGTACTTAAATATTTCATATACTACATCTTATTTATATAGTTGTCAATATAACTTATTGAGGAGTAATGTATGAATCATGAAGAAATTGGAGTAACCCGCAGGTTAACTTTTTACAGCTGATTTTATTTCTTTAATGCCAATGTGATAATTCTATTCGAAATGCAAGTCATTCGAGAGATGACTGGTTTTTCCAAAAGTTGATATCCATGAGAAGCGCATAGACAGCAGTTATTTGGAGTCATAATATGGTTCTTGATAAAAGAAATAAAAATCAACAAGACAACGAAAATCTCTTAGGTAATGAAGACTACACGAAAGAGAGGTCTGATCCTAACTTCATAATCAGACAGTTGAGTTATTTTGTCCGGTTCACTACCTTGTTTAGAAACTGCAATGAGATGTATGGAAAAAATCCACGATCTTAATGTCTAACCAAAGAAAGCGACTCAATACAGGTCAGAGTATATGGTCAGAGTAGCGTCATACTTTCCTACATTACGCATACTTCTTTGCTGACTGCTAAACTCTCTCCATTCATTCCCACAACAACTCAAGTATTAATATGAAGCTGACAGAAGTCCGTGTTCCTCTGTTTTTTCTCAGAAAATCATGTAGCATGCCATTTTTTTCTTCACATGGTGATTGGTGTGCTTGAAATAAGTGAGCTTCATTTTTTGTTGAATAAATACGAAAATGCAGTCATCCATGTCCAGGGTTATGAAGATGAGTTGCAGTAGGTTGGTAAAGCAGACCTTCCACCAAGGAACTAAGCTCAATGTCTTCACAACTCTCATTTTCTGTAGTTATTTCATTAGGCTGCTGTCATAACCGGTGAAAAGCACCAATAATATCTATTGGATCTGATAAAACAGTTACTGGATTCATTCAGTGACTTGGAAAAATTCAACATATCAATAGCTGAACGTCCATTTTTGAACCTTACTGACGGTTACGCAAGAGCGAGTAACTAAATAATGATGTACAGTATAAGGATTTTCTCAAGACCCTGACCAGCAACTTATTCCAGTGAAACTGATCTGTAGATTTTGGATACTGCTTGTTTTTTCTTTGATTTATTTATACTACTTTTTGTATTTTTACACAGAGACGACAATGTACCTGTATCAGATGTTAATAAGAGACTGTAGGTGTGGGTCAGCACATCTGTGCATGAAAGATTTGATCCTTAATCCAGTTTTCTTGCTTTTTCTTTATCTAAGGAATTAAGGAAGATATATACTACTTCATTTCCCATTGCCACATTTAATATCTTTGTAAAAAAGATCTTGCAATTCGCCATAGATGTTGATTCATTCTCTGTTGCACACTTAGGGTTTAACAAGGTAAAAATGCAAATTTCATGCTGTTAAATTTCAAACAGTAACATGTTGTTCTTTCTCAACTCATATATAAGTTAACTCTATGGATTTCTTTATTTAATTAGATATATTTGCTAGGTTTGGACTTTATATAATATTATGTTATATAAATACCCGAAACAAAAAAAAAAGTTTCAGCCAGCATTGGTCCGCAGATTTAATTCTGTTCATTTTATGCGAAAAGTTCACCTGTATAAACTGCAATAGGTCGCTTATCTGTGGGATACAAAAGTATACAGAGGTATGTTACCCTCAACGCCGCCTGTAGGCCACCCTCAGGCGCTACCCTGGTGACTGGTAAATTACGTTGGTATTAAAGTATTTCTTCAATTCACGTAATTCTATGGCTCCCTGACAGTCATAAGAATAATCCTCTGAAGTGGTTGGTGTACGGTGTTTTGTTCATTGTTTTGTAATTGTTACATGTTGCAGATATTTCCTGTCTTGATTTTGTGTACTTTGACTTTTATTTACATAAAAGAAAAATGTTTTGAAGTCACTCCTTTTCTTTAAATATTTCCTGATGGTAGCTGCTGTTCTGTCTACTACTTTCCATCTGTACTTCTTTATGGAAGTCTCCCCTACTTTTACTACTTAAAAATCAGCTTTTGTGTTCGTTGTTGAATATTTACGTCACAGTATTCATCGCCAGTGAAAGTCTACCTTATCAGCCTTCATTAGTCATCGTCGCCTTAGTAACCAATATGGGTCAGAATGTTTTTTCAGCCACTTCACCTCTTCCCACCATCAGCTAGTCGTATGCTCTCTCTTTTATCATTATTTCCATCAGTTTCTATAGACGAAGCAATCTCAATTGAAGACTTAATATTTTAAGAACTGCGTACCACTTTCGCCTGTCATTGATCTTTGTCTCTGTACTCCTGACTCACGAAATCGATACAATACAATTGCAAACATAACATGAAACGGCCGGGGCTCTAATATTAAAAGTCTTAAGAAGAGAAGGCATATCAACCAAGTTTTCATGGTAAGGGAGAACCAAAATATTTTTAGTTGAATAAGGTTGTGTAGACAGCCTGTACTGTCTGCACAGACAGCCATGCTGTCTGCCAGCTTAGTTCATATTTCGCAGTACTTAGATGCTGCCCTCTGTAGCTAGGCCTCTCGGTGGGCACGCCAGCCTGCCTGCCCTTGCCATGCTCTCACTCTGGCGACACCCTTCACTCAAACAAGAAGTGTCCACTCCTCTCTCCCTCGTGGGCATGGCCCTCCCGGGCCATGGGCACAACTCACAAGCCTGTGTACCCACCACGACATTTTCAATAAACAAAGAAACCTCCAAAGAAGTTCATCATTAACCACCCGCTTTCAGCCCTACCAAACAAACCCGTTATAAATTGTGGGAAGTGGTGGTCACAGCAGTTGTGTTTGCCCGGAGAGAGGAAGGAAGAGGTATGAAGTTTATCTTCACTTCATCACCCCATGCAAGAAGCATCCGTCTCTCAACGAGTTATCCTGATGTCGTGTCTGCACGTTTGAGCATCCAGACACAGGTACAAGCAGGATCCAGCCGAAATTTGCCAAATTTCTTCGAGAATTGTAAGTGGCGTCCCAGCGACCCCACGCTACAGCGTCCCACGCTGTTTGTCAAGTCACATGTTCAGCGCCATGTGTGTTGCTGTTGTTGTTCAGCTTAGCACAGCTGTTTCAACAAGCCAGAGGTGAGTTTTGTGGCGATTTTTGCGTCCAGTGTGAGCTTCTCCACGTGTTTGTGGGTGGGGAGGAGGAGGAAGTGGCCGTTCCTCACCTTGCCCATGCTCGCCCTACTCACGCTCACCAGCCTACCATACACCACTCACCACTGCCCACTCCCTCTGCTGTGTTTTTCTGAATTCATTGCCAGAACTGTGTATCCAAGTGCCCGAGGCCACTCGAAGCCACGTGGATCAGCATGCCACATAGATCACGACGCCACGTGGGGTGTGGGCGATGTCACACATGGATCTACAAGCTACGTGAGTTACCAGATGTCCCAGGCCTCATGCTGTGATCTGCTGCCCGCATCACACTGACGTCACCGACGATGCTGCCCGACTTCATGACGTCACGATGTCTGCTGACGTCACAGTGCTGCTGACGTCACCTCGCGACATCACATGATGTCACATCGAGTGTTTCTAGTAATTATTTCAGTATTATCGAGAAGATCGAGAGAAGATATATGTCGTGTGTTAATTAATTCCTCTCAGTCAGTGTTCTCACATGTTAGTGTACCGCATGTACCGCGGGTGTGTGTAGTTTCCGTGTGTCCAGTGAGGTCTGAGCCAGACCTGAGTAGCACCTCTGTGCTAAGTCACCCGAAGTGACCAGTGCATTTGACAGTTGTTATCAGTCAGCTCTGAGCCCCGAGCCCTCTTGTACAGAAAGCTCTTATGCTCGTCGCTCGTGATGTTCTGCAGAATCGTACCTGCTACGATTCCCATCGAGATTTGTTTCACTTCACCTCCAGACCCTCAGAGTGCAGTTATATGTAAAGAAACGAGTCTGGGGACGCTTAGACTAACCTCTGCTATAACTCCAACTGCCAAGAGAATGACTCTGGTTAAGCAGCAGTTAGCCCTGTCGGCAGGCGCTGTGTCAGCCTCGTGTCAAGCTTCAGTGAGCAGCTGCACAAAGAAGATGTCACTTTGACTGCCAGCTCTCTCACATGTTTCGCCCAGTCGTCTCTGCCACGACTCGCTCCACGACTCGCTCCGTGCAATCTTGTTTCAAAAAAAAATTCCATGTATAGATTACTAAGAACATTGGGGAATCCTCTTTCACCTGTTCTCAGTAATCTATACATTGAATTTTTTGAAACAAGATTGCTTAACACAATCCTCCCTAATAGAGCAAAATGGTTCAGACATGTCGATGATATTTTATGTCTTATGCCCAAGAATGTAGATATACACCATTTCATTGGCAAATTAAATAGCTTAGCCCATTCTATAAACTTTACTGTTGAGTTTGAGGAAAATAACTCATTGCCTTTTATTAAGAGTAATAATGAATTCAAATTTAAAATTTACAGAAAACCTACAAATAACTGTTCCTATGTACACTATTATTCTTCCCATCAAGATAAAGTTAAACTGTCTGTTTTCTCATCAATGTTTTTGAGAGCTTTACGTATTTGTAGTCCAGAGTTCATAGATGAAGAAATATCCAAAATTTATGAAATAGCCATTGATCTGAAATACCCGAGGAATGTAATTGATAAATCATTTAAAATTGTTAGACATACTTTTTACAACCCAAAAAGGGACAACCAACCTTATTCAACTAAAAATATGTTGGTTCTCCCTTACCATGAAAACTTGGTTGATATGCCTTCTCTTCTTAAGACTTTTAATATTAAAGTTGCATT